CTGGGTTTCGGAGGAGCGCGCGCGGGATTCCCCTCTTGCCGCCAAGACGGGACTCCTGGTGCCTGACCTGCCATCCGCCCGGGCGCAGGGTGCCCGCCTGGAGGGGAGGGGCGGAGCTGCGGTCGCCGTGGCCCGCTGGGGGTGGGGGGTCGGAGGGGGGCAGAGATGTGCCCTGCGCCCCCCCACGCCCAGCGGAGTCGAGGCGCGCTCTCGGGCACACCTGCACCCACACTGCGCCCGCGCGCAGGGGCACTCCTGGGGGTGCGCACACGCGTGGACTCCGCTCCCGCACACAGCGCCAACTCACAGACGCCGGTAACACAAGGGACCCGCCGGCACTGCCCTAACCAAGGGGGTGTCTGAGTTCAGCCCCCGCGGGTGGTGCCCTGAAGGATGAAAACTGCCTTCCACCGGCTGGGTGGGGAGCCCTCCTGTCTCAGAGCCTGGGAGTCTGGGGGAGGGGGCGGGGGATGTGTTTCCAGCGACAGGAACTAGGATGGGGGGCAGGGGCAGCCGGGCAGTGGGGACAGTCGGCAAAGGCTGTGGGGAGCTGGTTTGCCTGGCCTGGACGGGGACCGACCTCCCAGCCGGGGCCCCTCCCAAATATCGCCCGGAACCTGCTCACACCACAGGGGACATTCAGAGGTGGCTGTGCCCCAGCGCGCATTTCTTCCTAATAAATCCTGTTGGGGCTGGGAGTCCCTCGCGCAGGCTGGCGCCCCAGCCCCCTCCTCCCCGGCCCCTTCCCGCCAGGGCCCGGCGCCCCAGCAGCTGGGCTCAGCCTAGGAGGTGCCCCGTGGAGTCCCCAGCCCCGCCCTCCGTCCTGAGGCCGGAGACCTCCCACACCCACAGCGCAGCTCCCGTGCTCCCGTCCTCCGGGCTCCGGCTCCCGGGGGTGAGAGTCCCTGCGAGGGCCGCTGGGACAGGTGTGGCTGATGGCCCGCCGGGCCGGGATCTCCGGCTGTCCGTGTACGGCCTCCGGCTGTCCGTGTACGGCCTCCGGCTGTCCGTGTACGGCCTCCGGCTGTCCGTGTACGGCCTCCGGCTGTCCGTGTACGGCCTCCGGCTGTCCGTGTACGGCCTCCGGCTGTCCGTGTATGGCCTCCGGCTGTCCGTGTACGGCCTCCGGCTGTCCGTGTATGGCCGGTAGGGACACACAGTGGTCTGGGCCAAAAGACAGGCGCTGGCCAAGATGCAGAGCCGGCTCTCCATGCCACCAGTGTGACGGGCTGGCAGGAAGGTGGTTTTGGATTAGGGGCAGAGGTGCGTCAGGTTGTCTCTTTACCCAGACTGTGGTCACGCAGGGCTTCTGGGGATGGGCAGGGCCACGGGAGAGTGGCTGAGGGCGGCCAGGGCCTCGGCAGGTTCAGAGCAGCCCTGGCCTTGAGCAGCAGGAAGAGTAGAGCAGCCTGCCCCTGACCAGGCCTGCCCCCGGGGGACCCCACCTCAGCGGGCAGACACCTCCCCGGGGGACCCCACCTCAGCGGGCAGACACCTCCCCCGGGGACCCCACCTCAGCGGGCAGACACCTCCCCGGGGGACCCCACCTCAGCGGGCAGACATCTCCCCGGGGGACCCCACCTCAGCGGGCAGACATCTCCCCGGGGGACCCCACCTCAGCGGGCAGACATCTCCCCGGGGGACCCCACCTCAGCGGGCAGACATCTCCCTGGGGACCCCAATTCAGTGGGCAGACACCTCCCTGGAGGACCCCACCTCAGCGGGCAGACACCTCCCCAGGGGACCCCACCTCAGCGGGCAGACACCTCCCCGGGGGACCCCACCTCAGCGGGCAGACACCTCCCCGGGGGACCCCACCTCAGCGGGCAGACACCTCCCTGGAGGACCCCACCTCAGCGGGCAGACACCTCCCCGGGGGACCCCACCTCAGCGGGCAGACACCTCCCTGGAGGACCCCACCTCAGCGGGCAGACACCTCCCCGGGGGACCCCACCTCAGCGGGCAGACACCTCCCTGGAGGACCCCACCTCAGTGGGCAGACACTTCCCCGGGGGACCCCACCTCAGCGGGCAGACACCTCCCCGGGGGACCCCACCTCAGCGGGCAGACATCTCCCCGGGGGACCCCACCTCAGCGGGCAGACACCTCCCCGGGGGACCCCACCTCAGCGGGCAGACATCTCCCCGGGGGACCCCACCTCAGCGGGCAGACATCTCCCCGGGGGACCCCACCTCAGCGGGCAGACACCTCCCCGGGGGACCCCACCTCAGCGGGCAGACATCTCCCCGGGGGACCCCACCTCAGTGGTGGTGGGAGGGGCCGAGCACTCACGGGCGTGTTTGCAGGGAGAGGCTCGAGCAGATGATGATGTTGAGGACTGAGTCCGTGTGAAACAGTTGTTAGGATTCAGGGTCTGAGGTGTCATGGAAACCGAGTGGGGTGGGGACCGGGAGGCAGGCAGGGCCTGGAGGCGGCGGGCAGACAGAATGCCCGACAGCAAGGTGGCCAGTCTGGGCAGCAAGGCCCCGTCCCCCGTGGCCTCTGGAGTTCTCTTCTTCTTCTTCTCTTCTTCTTCTTCTTCCTCTTATTATTATTATTATTTCTTTATTGTTCTCAGAGAGGAAGGGAGAGGGGGAGAGATGGAAACGTCAGTGATGAGGGAGAATCATTGTTCGGCTGCCTCCTGCTCGCCCCCACTGGGGATCAAGCCCACAGCCTGGGCCTGTACCCTTGACCGGAATTGAACCAGGGACCCTGCAGTCCCCAGGCCGAGCTCCATCCTCTGAGCCACACTGGCCCGGCTCCCTCTTCTGTTTGTGACAGAGGCCTGGCTGCCTCTCTCACTTTCCTTTCACTTGTAAACACACTCTCCCTGCCGAAGTCCACCTGGGCAGTCAGCCTGTGACACGCACACACAACCCCACCAGGTCACTGACCTCAGTGTGGTGCTTGGTCCAGGGGCGTTAAGGCTGACCTTTGACCTCCCTAGCTCAGCTGAGGTGGCCCGCCCCTGTGCTGGGTGCCCGAGTGGGTGTGGGTGGGGTCGGGGCTGCAGAGCGATCATGGAAGGCTGCACGGAAGAGGTGGCTTAGCCGACTGAGTCCCCTGACCCGCTGGAGCTCCCAGGCCCGGGCTGAGAGGCGGCCCATCTGTCCACCGACTCAGGACGGTGGCCTGGGGCGTGGAAGGCGGGGCTTTATCAGAAGGATGAGCACGGACAGGTCAGGAGAAGGTGTGGGAGGGAGGTCCCGAGGGGGTCTCCTCCCCCCAGCCAGGGGCGCCCTCCAGGTCACTGGGAGGAGCGCAGGCTGGGCAGAGGCCCGGCCGCCTCCATGCCGGGGGCACTCACCACACCAGCTTTGTCCCCGGAGCCCCCTCCGGGGCTCCGTCCGCCTTCCCCCTCTGCGGGCCTGGGGAGCGTGGCTGCCCCTCAGCAAAGGGCCCGCGTGGCCCGCCCCCCCGCCCCTGGAGTCCGACTCCCCGGCCAGTGTGGGCCAAAGGCTGAGCCGAGGTCTCCGGAGGTGTCGGCCCAGGAGCCCTCCACGTCTGAGTGCAGGAGTGGTGCCCGGGCCAGGCTTCCCCGAGCCAGGCTTCCCCGGGGGCGGGCGCTGGCCTGTGGGGGCTCCGGGCTCAGAGGCCCCAGGCCCGCTCTTGAGCAGAGGGAGGCTGGGCCCAAGGGCTGCCTGGCTCCTCCAGGCCTGGGTGGCGGCCGGAGGGGAGAGCGGGTGCATGGTGTCCTGCCTCACCTGAGGGCCTGCCTCCCGGGCACAGGTCAGGCAGCGTCTCCTCTCAGCTGCTGCCAGGGCTCCGGCCAGGGGTGCAGGTAAGACCACCAGGATCAGCAAGGCCTGTGGGCCGGGGGCCTCGCAGCGTCACGTTCTGGGTCAGACCTTTCCAGGGTGAGAACAGTGATTGCCTGGCTTGGGTAGCTCGGTTGGTAGTGCACCGTCCAGCTTTGCCACGGTTGTGGGCTCGATCCCTGGTCAGGGGGGTGCTGTCCCTCTGGGCGCTGCCAGCCTTTCCTTCCTCCTTCCCTTTCCCAGAAAGAAAGGCAGCAAGCTGGTGTCTCTCCCTTCCTCTCTCAAATCCACACCTCCACAAACAATCCGCACAGAACCCAGGGCCGGGCCAGCGAGCTCCCGGGAAAAGATGGGCGCCTGCGGGGCTGGGGAGGGGCCAGCACGGCGCCCGGGGCGGAGGGGGAGGTCAGCGCAGGGAACCGCGGGAGGCTGCAGGGCTGGACAGCGTGCAGCCGGGGCTGACCTGGCACCCTCAGTGGACTTTAGTCCGTGCGGCTCGCCCTGTGGCAACACACACGCAAACGCGCTAACACCAGCCGCTCCTGAGGGACGGGGGTGGGGGTGGGGGGGCCCTCAGGAATCCTCTGACAGAACCAACCGTCCGCGACCCCCTCTGCCCTGCCTGCCCCCCAAAAGGCGCTTTTTATAATATCAAAGGTCAACAAACGGCCTGACAAGCCATTTTAAATCCCTTTGATTGATTTATTTTTAAAACATATTTGTATTGTTTTCAGAGCGGCAGGGAGAGGGCGTGAGCCTGTGCCCGGTTCACAGGTCGGTGCTCAGCCAGAGCCACGCCGCCGGCTCTCCTAGTTCTTAGCACTCGGGGGACTGTGCCCTCCCCGCGGCCACAGGGACGCTTGTTCCACAGGAGGCGCGTCGGCGAAGAAGCTTCCGGTCCCTGCCGGCACTCCCGCACCTGAGCCCGGTGTCCGGCGCCCGCGCGGGGCCGCGGGGTGGCTGGGCCGGCGTCCACGGAGGCGGGTGCGGCCAGGCCAGGCCCTCCGAGGCCGAGCGTCCCCATCTCACACACACACACACACACACACACACACACCCCGGCACTTGGCGAGTTTTATTCTTGACCCGCAGGGTGAACCCCAGGCCGCTCCCCTGTCTGACAGCGAGAGGGGGGAGGGCCCGCTGCCCAGGGGGAGGGGCTGGCCTCGCACCGTGGTCAGGAGCCGGGCCCGCCTGCCCGGCCCTGCAGCCCGTGACCAGGGCTCCCTTCCTCCAGGAGAACCAATGAGGCCTCAGGTCCTGCTGGCCCCTTAGACCTCAGCACCTGCCCTGTCCCCACGATGCTGCTCTGGGCCCTCCTGCTCACACTCCTCTCCCAGGGCGCTGGGGCCCAAAGTGAGTCCGGCCTCCCTCCCTCCCCCTCTCCTTCTCTCCCTCCCCCTCCCCCTCCCCTCCCCCCTCCCCTCCCCCTTCCCCTCCCCCTCCCCCTCCCCCTCTCCCTCTACTCCCTCTCCTTCTCTCCTTTTCCCTCCCTCCCTCCTTCTCTCCCTCCCCCTCCCCTCCCCCTCCCTCTCCCCCTCTCCCTCTCCCCCTCTCCTTCTTGTCTCCCTCCCCCTCTCCTCCCCCTCCCTCTCCCTCTCTCCCTCTTCCCCTCTCCCTCTTGTCTCTCTCTCCCGCTCCCGCTCCCTCTCCCCCTCCCACTCCCTCTCCCCTTCCCTCTCCCCCTCCCCCTCTCCCCCTCCCTCTCCCCCTCCCCCTCTCCCCCTCCCCCTCTCCCCCTCCTCCTCCCCCTCCCCCTTTTCCTCTCTGCTTCTCCCTCTCCCCCTCCCCCTCCCCCTCTCCCTCTCCCTCTCCTCCCTCTCCTTCTCTCCTTTTCCCTCCCTCCCACCTTCTCTCCACCTCTCCCCCTCCCTCTCCCCCTCCCTCTCCCCCTCCCCCTCCCCCTCTCCCTCTCCCCCTCTCCCCCTCCCCCTCTCCCCCTCCCTCCCCCCCCTCCCCCTCTCCCTCCCCCTCTCCTTCTTGTCTCCCCCCCCCTCTCCTCCCCCTCCCTCTCCCCCTCTCCCTCTTCCCCTCTCCCTCTTGTCTCTCTCTCCCGCTCCCGCTCCCTCTCCCCCTCCCACTCCCTCTCCCCCTCCCCCTCCCCCTCTCCCTCTCCCTCTCCTCCCTCTCCTTCTCTCCTTTTCCCTCCCTCCCACCTTCTCTCTCTCCCCCTCTCCCCCTCCCTCCCCCCCTCCCTCTCCCCCTCCCCCTCCCCCTCTCCCTCTCCCCCTCTCCCCCTCTCCCCCTCCCCCTCTCCCCCTCCCCCTCTCCACCTTCCCCTCTGCCTCTCCCCTTCTTCCTCTTCCTCTCCTTCTCTCCCTCTCTCCCTCCCCCTCCCCTCCCCCTCCCTCTCCCCTCCCCCTCCCTCTCCCCTCTCCCTCTCCCTCTCCCTCTCCCTCTCCCTCTCCCTCTCTCCCTCTCCCTCTCCCTCTCCTTCTCCCTCTCCCTCTCCCTCTCCTCTCCTTCTCCCTCTCCCTCTCCCTCTCCTTCTCCCTCTCCCTCTCCCTCTCATTCTCTCCTTTTCCCTCCTTCCCTCCCTCTCTCCCTCTCTTCCTCTCCCTCCCCCTCTCCCACTCTCTCCCTCTCTCTCTCCCCCCTTCTCTCTCTGGGGCGGGGGGACAGGGGGCGGCAGTGTGGGAAGGAGCACACCCAGGCCAGTGCAGGCCCAGGGACTGCCGGTGGCCCCAGGGAGGGCTGTGGGTGAACGTGTGAATGTCCCCCCACAGCCTGGGACGACCCGCGTGACTGTCCCCCCACAGCCTGGGACCACCCCACCTGCACGGAGGGCGTCGTGTCGGTGACCAGCGGGGCGCCCGCCGAGATGACCTGCACCATCTCCAACGCCTTCCTCAGAGTCCGCGTGTGCCTGCGGGCCCCCGGCCGGGAGGCCTGCCGGCCGGTCTTCGCCCGGGCGGCCCCGGGGTGCTCCTCCCGGGGCGGCTGGCGGCTCTGTGTGGAGGGCGGCTCGGCGAGGATGGTGACAGAGAAAGCCCAGGCCAGCCAGGCGGGGCAGTACCAGTGGACCCTCGTGGGGTGCCAGAAAGACCAATCATTCACCTACCTGAACGTTTCAGGTGAGGAGCGGGGCCTGCACTCCCCGGAGCTGGGGAGGCCCTCCTCCGGTCCCCGCGGTCACTGCGATTTCTCTCTGTGTCCAGTGCCCCCCACACACTGTCCGCCTCCCGCCGTGGCCTCCTCTCCACCGCCCGCCCTGTCCCCTTGCTCCCTTAAGATCCGCCCACTTTGGTTCACTGAGAAAATGGGACCAATCAGCTGAGACCCACCCTAACCCTCGCCTCTCCCTCACCTCTGTGCCCCCTGTGACCTCCTGGACACCAGCCCCTCGGTTCCCGGACCACCATCATGCTCGGACACCTCCCCGGTCCTGTCTGCTCAGGAGCTCTGCCCCTCGCCCCCTAAGTCCCCCTAACCACCCGCCCCTCTTCCTTTGCTCAGCCTGAAGTCTCCACAGCCCCCCCCTTCTGCGGCCTGAGGGGGCGCTGGGGGGCATGGGCCCTGGGGGGCAGTGAGCCCAGCCCTGGCCCTGGGGCCCCCTGACCACCCTTATCTCCCTACAGAGCCGCCTGAGCAGCCCTCCACACCCCCCTGGGGTAGGTGTCGTCCTCCAGAGCTGTGGGGGGGGGGGGCAGGGGCTGGGCACTATCTGTCCCTGGGCTTCTGGCCGGGTGCTGTCCCCCTGGGGGTGTTCCAGGAGGCCGTGGCCACCCTGATTCCTGACGCCACAGGGACCCAGGACCTGCCCTCGGCCCAGGACCCCCTCCCGGCCCAGGACCTGCCCCGGGCTGAGGACCTGCCCTCGGCCCAGGACCCCCTCCCGGCCCAGGACCTGCCCCGCGCCGAGGACCTGCACTCGGCCCAGGACCCGCCCCCGGGGCGGCTGCGTGTGGTCCTCATCCTGGTCCCCATGCTGCTGCTGCTCTGCATCCTGGCTCTGGGAGGCCTGCAGTGCTGGCGTGGGGACCGCGGTCGCCCCCTGCACGTTCAGTTCGCGTAGGTGGCCTGTGGGCTGGGCGGGAAGGGGGGTCCAGGGTCTCAGAGGACCCCAGCGGCTGCCGGCCCCCACTCCGTCCCCAGGACACCCTGGAGGCCGTATGGAGCTGGACTTCCATGAGACCCAGGACACGTGGCACACGCGTGTGTGCCTGAGCCTGCTCAGCCCCATCGCTCACGCCCGCCCTCCTTCCTCAGGTGAGTAGGCGGTGCCCATCCGAGCGGAAGCAGGCCCAGCTGGCACCCGGAACCCAGGCCCTGAGCCCCCCCCAAGGCCGACCCCCCAGCAGTGGAGCCTGTGCCCCTGCCCGGTCTGGTGGGCGGTGCCGTGGGCTGGCAGAGGCCTGGCCCTGTGCAGGGCCTCCACCCAGGCGGTCCCTCAGGAGAGCAGGCCAGCTGGCCACTCACACCAAGCCAGGGCTCAGCTGCTCCCTCCCTCCCTCCCTCCCTCCCGGCTCCTCTCACCACCTGAAACGTGAGCATCTCAAGCTCCAGAGCCCTCGCCCAGGGGACAGCCCCTCGGCACCCCTCCTTCCCGGCTGGGGAGGGGGCTCCTTCTGGGACCAGCTGTGCCTCCAGCATGTCCAGGTTCGGTCTGGAGTTGATCTTGGGCCTACTCTGCTTGACTCTGAGCAAGAATGAGGGTTGGGGACCCTCCTGCAGGCAGTCGATAGGCCAAGGTGGGGCCGTTAGAGGCCTAAGATGCTGTGTGCCCGCCTCCACCACCAGGGGGCGCACATCCCTCTGCAAAGAGGTGGGCAGGTCGCTGCGGCTTGAGCTGTGGGCCCCACCGCTCCCCCCTCTGCCCTGTCCGCTGGCCGTCCCCCACCCCAAAACCACTGCCACACGCCTGCATCATCCCCCCCAGGCACTGAACGGAGTCCATCTTTACTGAGTACATGTGCTTTGAAAAACATCCCTGAGGCTAACTTTTAAAAAATATATTTCATTGATTTCAGAGAGGGAAGGAGAGGGAGAGAGAGAAACATCAATGATGAGAGAGACTCATGGATCGACTGCCGCCTGCACACCCCACTGGTTGGAGCCTAACCGAACCGCCGGCCGGTGCCCTGACCAGGAACCCTGCCCTGCCTTCCGTTTCCCGGTCACCGCTCGGCCCCGAGCCACGCCCTCACCCAGCTCTTGAATAAAATAAAGCACCATGATGGGCGAACCGTCAGCGATCGTTTTGTAAATGGAAAAACACGTAAAAGCTAAAAGACAAGAGAATAAGTAAAAGCTTTGTGCGGGGGCGGGGGTCTCACCCTCAGGCATCAGGGAGGCGGGTGCGGCCCCTCCCCACGGAGACGGACCGGCCTCACGGCCGCCAGGGCCCGAACCCGGAACCCGGGCTGAGAGGCTCGGTCACTGCGGGCCTGTGGGGCCCCCGGGGGGCTGTGGCTGCCCCAGGCAGCGGGCAGGCAGCCAGGCCCCTGTCTGGGGCCCCGGAGGTGGCACTTTTCCGCGGCGCTGCCTTCGGGAAGTCAGGCACCCTGAGGCCGGGCCGGTTTTCTCAGCGGCTGGAGCACAGGCTGCTGACCGAAGGGGCTCGGGTTTGGTTCCCAGTCAAGGGCAGGGGCATGTCCCTGGGGTGCAGGTCTGTTCTGGGCCTGGTCGGGGCACATGCGGGAGGCAACCAACCGATGTTTCTCTCTCTCCCCCCGCCCCTTCCCTCCCTCTCTTTGTCTCTAAAAATCAATGGAAAAAGGATCCTTGGTGAGGATTAACAACAAAAAGGAAAACAGAACAAAAAAGTCGTTTTAATCTTTTTTTTTAATATATTTTATTGATTTTTTTACAGAGAGGAAGGGAGAGGGAGAGTTAGAAACGTCGATGAGAGAGAAACATCGACCAGCTGCCTCTTGCACACTCCCTACCGGGAATGTGCATGCAACCAATGTACATGCCCTTGACCGGAATCGAACCAGGGACCCTTCAGTCCGCAGACCGACGCTCTACCACTGAGCCAAACGGTTTCGACATTAATCTTGTGGTGATTAAAGGCCAGACACGCGGAGGAGCTGCTCCTGGTGTGCGGCCGTCTCCTGGGTCTGTTCCCGGACAGCCCCGGCGTCCGCTCTCTAGGATAAGCGAGGCCCTCAGAGGAGATGGCCCGAGGACCAGGCCCACAGGAGCCTGACCCTCCCAACCAGGGCCCCTCCTCCTGGCCCTGGGCCCCCTCCCCGCCGCCTCCGTCCCCCTGACGTGCCCAAGGAGATGCAGCCGGGGAGGGCCAGGACAGCCCGCCACCCCCAGCAGGGGCCCACCCGCCCAGCCAGGGCCTCAGGTTCCTGCCCCTCCAGGGCCCTGCCTCCAGGAAGCCCTCCGAGGCCCCACCACCTCCACCCCCTCGCTGGCGCCTCCAGCCCCGCCCCACCCCGCCCACCCAGGAAGTGACCTTTCATCGGGCTTGGGGCAGCACCCGCAGGTGTCTGTCTTGGACCTACAGAGTCACTGCTGCGCCCGTGGGGCCCTGCCTTACCCCTGCCCCTGGGCCGCTGGGCAGCATGGCAGGGAGCGTGGCCCCCAGGCTGTCTCTGCTCCCCATGCTCCTGGTGCTGGCCGCTGCCGACCCCCCGCCTGCCGGAGGTAAGGCCTGCCCAGTCCTCCTGGGCCCAGCTCCCTCCCCCTGCTCTCCTGCCAGGGCGCTCCTTCCCGTGAAGGGTGGTCGGGTGGGGCCTGCCCTTCCCTCGGACCCGGGCCGTCACAGGCACCGGCACCTGGACAGGGGCTGCGGCTCAGCGGCCTGGCGCTGCGTCCGTCCTGTCTCCCCTCCGTGTCCGGTCCTTCCACACTCAGTGTGGAATCCACAGGGAGCCAGCGCCCCGTCAGAGGGACTGCCATTTGGCTTTTATCTTCGCAGCGTCTGTTCTTGTTGCCGTCAGAGAGGAAGGGGGAGGGAGAGAGAAACATCCAAGATGAGAGGATCGCTGATGGCTGCCTCCTGCACGCCCCGCGCGGGGGGTGAGACCGGGAACGGAACCGTGACCTCCTGGCCCGGGTTCATGCTCACCCACTGAACCACACCGCCAGGCCAGGCTTTCTCTTTCAAAGGGACTCCCGAGGGGCGGGTGGGCCTCGCTGGCACAGCCCTGTGTTCCCGAAAGTGGCAGATTTGACGGAGATGCTGAGGTTCGGATCCCGTTAGAAGGTTGTGTTGTCCCAGGCGGGGCTCCTGCTCCAAAAGGCTGTGGCTGGTTCCCGGTCCGAGCACATGCAGGATCCGCCGGTCGGTGCTTCTCCCTCTCCAGCTGTCCTGGGGGCTGCATTTAATTAAAACGTTCACGTTCATTGATTGACTTGAGAGAGAGCGGAACATGGACTCGCTGTTCCACATAAGCACTGGTTGATTCTTGTCCGTGCCCTGCCCTGCGATGGACCTGGACGTACCAGGACGACCCTGTGGTCAGCAGAGCGACCGGCCGGGCCCTGGGCTGCCGTTGGAGAGAGAGACCCGGAGAGCCAGGGAGGGGTCAGGCCGCCCAGCAAAGGGCTGCTCCTCCGAAGGAAGGAACAAGCTCCAGCTGCCCCGCCCGCCGGGCCCTGGCGGGGAGAGGGACCCTTCAGAATCCAGAACATCCCTCTCCCGACCCCATGCTGGCGCCTGGAGCAGCTTCAGGCTCCCTCAAGGGGCCTGGCCTGGGCGGACGTGTCCGGGGTCCCTTCGCCTGCCGCCGGCCAGGCTGGCGGTGACGGCAGGTCCTCTCCGCAGAGGTGTGGCAGTCCCCCCTCTACGCAGTCACCCCCGAGGGGGGCTCCCTCAGCATCGCCTGCTCCGTCCACACCAACGGGACGCTGCTCGGGGTCCACCTGAGGCAAGGCCATGTGCCGAAGACGCTGGGGGTGACCTTCTATGACGGGGAGAGCGCCCCCACCGTGGACCAGCGGTTCCTGGGCCGCGTCCTCTTCTCGGGGCCCCCGGACCGCCTGACCGTCACCGTGCAGGGCCTGCAGCCCGAGGACACGGGCGCCTACTTCTGCGAGGCCGTCATGGAGGAGGGGAAGGCCTGGGGCGCCGGCACCACGGTGGTGGTGACAGGTAGGCAGCGCCCTCCCTGCCTCCAGCCCGGCTCTCCCTGCCCCCCCAGGGCCCCTCCCCCCCTCCAGCCTCAGCCGCCTCCTCCAGCGGCCTCCTGGATTTCGCCCCTGTCTGCCTCCCCTTCCCCCCACCTGTGCCCTGAAGACTCTCACAGACTCTCTCCACACTGTCCCCAGCCGCCAGCGCCTGCCCCGGGACTCAGCTGGCCCACTTCACCTTCCCCATGGCCCTGGCCCTGGGCTGCCTCCTGGTCCTGCTGGGCCTGGGTGCCATGTGTGTGCTGAGGAGGAGGAGGAGGCAGGTCAGTATGCCCCTCACTGTCACTGTCCCCACAAGCCGGCTGCCCCGGGAGCAGGGAGGGGAGAAAAGGGGCTCCCTGTCCCCTCCATCAGGGCCTCTGGGGGCTCCCAGGACCAAGGAGGGAGCGGAACCCCGGAACTGGAGCCACCAGGAGTCCTAAGGACTCAGGGCACAGGATGCTTAGGGGCTGGGCCGGGTCCTGGTCGGACATCTAAGGGGTGAAGCACATGTATGACCAAGTGTGCATACGTGTGAGCGTGTATGTGTGTATGTGAGCATGTGTGTGCAGAGCATGACATCAGTGTGTGAGCCTGTGTGGACCTGTCCGAGGTGGGAGTGGACAGGGAAGTGGTCACCTGGGCCCCTGGTGCCAGCCCAGGCCCCATCCCCAACACGGTCCCTGGGGACAAGGTCACGGCCACCCCCCCGCCCCCCCACGGTCCCCCACGGCCCACACAGACAGGCTTCCCTGCAGATCAGGAACCTGTGCTCGGCGCCGGACAAGAGCACGACGTGTGTGATCTACGAAGACATGTCCTGCAGCCGCCGGAACACCGTCTCCGTCCCCCACCACGGCCAGTGAGCCGGCCGCCTGCCCCTGGCGCCTCCTCCAGGAAGCCCTCCGTGCCTGCCTCACACCCTCAAGGCTGCCCTGCTTGCCCCGTGGGCTGCCCCTGGCCCCTGGGAGCCGCCAGAGACCAAGCCGCCCTTCTCCTCACACGGACCAGCTGGGGTCTGGGCAGCGGGCACGCCTGGCGGGTGGACTGTGTGCTGAGCCACCTGGCCTGACCCAGGCTTGCCCGCCCTCAACCAGACCTGGCCCCTCGGGACTCAGGGGAGCCGCCTGGCCAACAGCAAGGAGGCCGAGTCCGCAGGAAACAGGGATCCCGGGTCCGAGCAGCCAGGGCAGGGCTCAGCTCCAGAGGGAAGGGCTGGCGGAGGAAAGGAAATCACAGATGCACAGTCGGCACCACAGCAAGAGCAACCAATCGATGTTTCTCTCCTCTTCCTCCTCCTCCTTCCTCCCACTCTCTCTAAAAATCAATGGAAAAATAGCCTCTGATGAGGATTGACCAAGAAATAAAATAAAAGCATCACATCTTTAGAGCCCCGGAAATAATGTTTTTAAATTAATTGACACAATCGTCAGTTTTCTGCTACATCCTTTCACTGCCTCCTCTTTGGATGCACAGACCCCCTTCCCGCACCCGCCCCCCATCAGCAGTTTCACGCTGTGCACACCTCAGGCCTATTCCTGCCACCCGGCCACCAGGAGGGGGACACAGGCACCCCGCACACCGCCCTCCGCCCTGCACCACGGGGCCGGCCGGCGCAGTGGGGTGCACCTGGTGTGTCTGGCGACCTCCAAGGCTGCAGAGACGGGGGGGGGGGGGGGGGAGGCAGGGGGCTCAGGGTGGGGGTGGGGAGCCAGGAGCCCTGTGACCCCACCAGGCAGCAGCTGTTCCTGCGATGAGGACAAGGGTGGCCGTGAGCAGGGAGTCCGCCCTGGACCGAGTTGGGGAGAGATTGAGGCGGGGGGGGGGGGGGGGGGCGCGGGAGAGCCCATGAGAATCACCGGTTCTGGATGCCCTGGTGCAGCAGTTGGCAAACCTCAGCTCTCAAGCCACATGCGGCTCTTTGGCCCCTCGAGTGTGGCTCTTCTACAAAATACCACAGGGGAGTCTATTTTGAAGAAGTGGCGTTAGGAGAAGTTTGAGCTTAAAAAAATTGGCTCTCTAAAGAAATCTCACTCGTTGTGCTGTTGACACTGGGCTCTGTTGACAATGGGTTCGACAACCACTGCCCTGGCAGGCCCTCAGGGGTTGAGGCTGCCACCATAGTTTCCGAGTTTATGGGAGCCAAACGGGTGACAGTGCGGGGAGCAAGGTCTCCGTGGACTGCGAACAGGGATGGCCTACCTCCACGTCAGATCGAGGGCGGAGGCGGACGGCTCCCTGGAGCCGGCTGGGGAGGGCAGGGCGGTGGGAGCAGGGCAGGGAGCCTCGGGTGGATGAAAAGTAAAACGGAGCCCTCGCCCGTTTGGCTCGGTGGACGGCGCGCCGGCTCGCCTATGGACTGAAGGGTTCCGGGTTCGATTCCCGGTCAAGGGCAGGAACCTTGATTGCATGTGTGGGAGGCAACCAATGGCTGTGTCTCTCTCTTCTCTCTCCCATCGATGTCTCCCTGTCCCTCCCAGCCCTTCCCCCCTCTAAAGGCCAATGGGAAAATAGCCCAGGTGAGGATTGTCACCAACGACTAAAACAGAGAGGAAAAGCTTCTCTGATGCTGGTGGGCATCGGACAGTCAACAAGGAGCACGTGGCTCTGCGGTGTTCGGGACGCGAATGCGCCAGGCTCCTGGTCCCGCCCTGGGCAGCGGTGTGTCCTGGCCGGGAAGAGGAAGGTGTGGCCTCCGGCCTGACTCCCTTTCAGGCAAGAAGCTGTCCGTTCAGACCACCCTACGTGTGGCTTTGGTCTCTGTGTTGGAAAGGCCGCCTCCGAGGCCTCTCCTGACCCTGGCAGGTTGAGTTCATGGCCCCTTTCTTGTCCACGAGGCCCACGCCAAGGCCGGCCGGGCTGGGCGAGGGGAGGGGGGCAGCCCTCGCCTCAGGGTGCGGGAGCCCAGATGTCCTGGGAGGAGAAAGGCCTCGGGCAGACAGGGGGCCACGCTCAGACTGTCCGGGCCCCTCTCTGCCCCACCCCCAGGGTGGGCAGCCCCTGCCCCAGACCTCTCCTCGCAGGCACCTGTCTGCCTCGCCGCGGGGGGGGCGAGGAGGTTTCCTGAGGCTGCAGTTGGGGTGCAGGAAAAGGCTGCTGGGCCTGCAGCACCCCCGACTTCTCACGCCCCCACTGGCTTGACATCCGCCCAGGCTGCGCTCAGCTTCGCAGCCCCATCCTCCGGAGCCCCCTCCCCCAGTGCTCCCCCCGCCCGGGCCGCCCACAGTGACACAAGCTGGGACCACATCCTGAGCTCTGGTCTCTCACACCGACGCACAGCCATCCCCCTTTGGAAAAACTGCTGTGTGAACTGCTCGGTTCCTCTGGGTCTCGTACGCTGTAGGTCGACTCCGTTGTTTTTAGACGGGGAAACAACGTTGTTTTCTGCTTGAACAGAAAAGATAAAAATTGTCTGGCCTGGCCAGCGAGCCCTCTGACTGAGACGCTGATGTTGATGCCAGGTGGAGATGGGACATGTACTCAAAGCAGCACCTTGTCTGTAAGAATAACTTACACCGGGACTAAGGAAGACACAAAAGGGGAATGCTTCCTCCTCGGGGGGTTCAGAAATCTGCTCTGAACCTCACGCAATAACTCTGAACAAACTGGCTCCTTAGGCGTCTGGTCCAGCGCGCTGATTTGCGGTTCAACAGCCGGTAAGTCAGGCAGCCCGTGGGTAAGTCACCCTGAACTCCCACAACCACAGCCACCTGCAGCCTGCCCCAGCTCTCAGTCCCACCGCAGGCTCAGCTGGGCCCCTCGTGCTCTCAGCCCCGCCCCAGGCCCTGCCTCAGCCCGACTGCCTCCCCCACCCCAGGCGCTGCTCACCCTCCCCCAACCTCTTCATCCCGCACCCGCCAGGGGCCCAGGCCCCGGAGCCAGACCACCACCCGCCACTCTTTCTGCCCCTCCTCCTCCTGCCCTGTCTCCTGGTGGAGGGCATCCCTTTGCAGATTCTCGGGTCATCCTGTGGGGAGTGGACAGCATTCTGGGCCTCCCAAAGCCCCTTGGTCACAGGCAGGGCTCCTCCCTGCTCAGAGGACACCCCTCAGCCTGGGGCTCCCACAGCTCCTCACCCCACCTAGCCCCTCGCTATGGGCTTCGCTGGCCATTGAATGTGTTTAGTCCTCACAAGGCCACAGGCCCTGCAGCCCCTTTAGCAAAACCGAACCTGAGCCGGGCTAGGGTGGCTCAGTGGTTACGCATCCACCCAGGATCCAGGAGGTCAGAGTTCAATTCCCAGTCAGGGCACAGGCCCGGGTTGTGGGCTCCATCCCCAGTGTGGGGCGTGCAGGAGGCAGCCGGTCCATATTTCTCTCTCATCATGGATGTTCCCAGCTCTCTCCCCCTCTCCCTTCCTCTCTGATATCAGTTAAAATAGATTTAACAATAAATAAATAAAAGTAGAACCTGGCCCTCTGTGGCTGCCCGAGAGGGTTATCCAGGGACCGAGGGACTCGGGTGGTGCTGAGCTCGGGGTCACTGCCTGTGCGTCTGGCCCCGATGTCCCTCCACCTCTGCTCTGCTGCCTCCCAGGGCCTGGAGCCGGCACCCCACAGGCTGGACACGGCCCCGGTTCGACCGGCCTGCACAGGCTTAGTTCCTAAGACAAGCTCCAGTCAGCCAGGGCCTCGTGGTCCCACGGGCCTGAGACTAAAGGAAGGAAGGGGGCCTGCAGGAGAGGGAGGAGGCGAGTCAGTGTGCTGGGAGGTCTGTCTGCACAGAGGAGGGCAAAGGGCAGAGGTCACATGAAGGAAATGCAGTTCCTCCCAGGGGCACTTCCCGCTGGTCTCAGGCCCTGCCCTCAGGGTCCCCCCTCCAGCCAGGGCTCTGCTCCCAGGGCCCCGCAGCCGGGGTGGGGGCGGCGCCCGCTGGGTGCTCACAGCTCAGTGCTCACAGCTCAGTGCAATCCTGAGGTTTGCTGATTAAGGTCAAACCCTGCCTGCAGGCCCCGAGGAACATGCCAGAAAGTGTGTGGGGTTAGGGGGGTGGCTCTGGGCCAGACCTGAGCTGCCCAGGGGCGAGGGTCTTTTATTTTTTAAATTCTCATCTGAGGATAGTTTTCTATTGATTTTATTTTTTATTTTTTTAAATATATTTTATTGATTTTTTTTACAGAGAGGGAGAGGGATAGAGAGCTAGAAACATCGATCAGTTGCTTCCTGCACACCCCAACTGGGGATATGCCCACAACCAAGATACATGCCCTTGACCGCAGTCAAACCTGGGACCTTTCAGTCTGCAGGCCCACGCTCTATCCACTGAGCCACACCGGTTTCAGCTTCCCATTAATTTTAGAAAGAGTGGACGAGAGAAGGAAAACGGAGAGAAATATCGGTGTGAGAGAAACAGGTCGATTGGTTGCCTCCTGCACGTGCCCTTGACCAGAATCCAACCCAGGATTCCACAGGCCGATGCTCCATCCACTGAGCCGCCCTGGCCAGGGCTGCCGGGGTGCTTGAGGGGCTCCGGCCTTGGCTGACGGGGCCCAGGAGGCGCCTGTGGCCGGCGTCCTAAGCCCCAGACCTGCTGTGGGTCTGGGAGCGGCTGCCGGAGGCCAGAGGAGACGCAGCCTCCTTGGTGACCCTGCGACAGCCAGCCAGACCCCAGTCCAGTCCACACGCAGGGCCTGTGGCCTGGCTTCCTGTTTGTCTCTGTCCTCGGAGGTGGCACTCGGCCACATCCGCTCCCCTGGCGCCTCTGTGAGAACCTGGGCCCGGACCTGTTCCCTCAGCCCCACCTCCCCAGCCACCGCCGCCACAGGTGCCTCCACTGCCTGGGACACCCTCTGCGCCTCGGGGCTCCCCCTCCTAGGACAGGCCACCCTCACTCCCCTCAAGTCCGGAGGGAACTTCCCAGCATCTCTGCCCAGCGCCCCCCAGCGACCCCAGGACCCCTGCAGGCTGAGTCAGCTTTGCGAGGCCGAGGCTTCTCCAGCCGCTTCCAGGGGGCCCGGGGAAGGCTCCAACAAGGGCAGGGCCCTGCGGTGCCAGGACTCCCACCCCACCCTCCCCTCCCCTCCTCACCACGCCTTCCTGCGTCCCCTCCCCGCTCCCTCTGCAGCCCAGGCCTTTCCTGCCGCTGTGACAAGCTCTCCCACCGTGTCCCAGCGCCCGGCCCCACCCCGCATGGTGGCTGAGTGGCTGAGCTGGGTCCTGAGTGAGGTCATTCCATGCCCTGTGGGTGCCCTGGGGCCCTCGACCATCCAGGTGTACAAAGCGGCCAGTGCCTCCCTTCGGGGCCACGCAGCCCAGGGCCCGGGGCTCTGCAGGGGGCCAGCTGCCCCCTGGTGGCAGGACCAGGCAGGGGCAGGCGGGGAGCAGCGCAGCCTGT